CAAGAATCAGTAGGACTAAACCTTACATGGTACTACGTATGCCAACCCAGACCTGCAAGATATGACTTATTCCAAGGCACGTGCTTAAGAAGAATTGCACAGTGCAGAGCAGCACATCATATTGGTTCTCAGATCAGTAATCCTTCAAGTATTTTGCAAGATACTTTGACATTCAGCACTTAAAAAACAACCTGCATTACATTAATAACTGCAGTCCTGCTAGCTAAAAAAAACAACCCCAACCCTTTCCTTTATGAATCATTTTCCTCTTAGTTAATTTACAGCTTTAACTCATTGGAACAAAAGGGACTTTTCTTACAGGTGAAATAGGACACAATGTGTTCTGTAAATTGCATCCAGGTGCAAGTTACTAACACAGGGAAACTCACAATTAGTCTGCCTTGGTTTACTTCCCATTAAAAACAAAACAAAAAGAAGTTCAACATAAAACATCAAGAGCTAATTTGACATTGGGGCAAATTCTTCTGCCTTCAATCTGCTACCTTCATTCTGCTTGAGAAGAAACCCAAGATGCAAAAAAAACAATTAAAATCATAGAATTAGCTACTAATACTATGAGATGGAATTGGATTGACAGTTTTTCATGTCATACAGGGCATCACACATGGTCAGTCTTGTCCTGCACAAAGCATGTGCCAGGCTGAGTTACACCAAGGAAATTAAAAGTGTTGAAGCATGCACTGCAAACACCAAATGATTAATGCCCACGGATGAGAGCTGTGGAGAGCCTGGGTCTCCTTCTCACCTAAATGGGAGCTGCTACTTGCTCAGCCTCTAAAGAACTTTCCGCTGTGTGATTTGATAGGAGGCTTAATCTTTTGACCTCAGACACATGTGAAATTAAGAACAGAAAAAGACTCATCCCTCTTTTCACCTGTCAAACCAAATTCAAGAAAACATGCCACTTGCGCTCTTGCTTTCCTTAACTCCTCGGATACTGTATAATATCCCCTTCCCAGACCAAAAATTTGGAAATAACTCATGAAGCAGACCTTTATTAAGTGACACTCTGCTTGTCTAAAAACAATAAATCCAATAAACAATATACACAGAACATGCTGAGAATTAACATGCAACACATAAAGGGGAATAACAACTTAATTGAATACATTCGGGATCAGGACCCTAAGTGTGGCTGAAACATGAGTTATTAAATCTATATGCATTCTGGCTTGACTATCAAAACTACATTCATTCAGCAGCAGCCCCCAGTAGGATTTCACTGCTCAATATATTTTTATCGCTCTGCAGTTTGAGCAGTATTTTTGATCAATTCCTACAATCAAGATTTGAACATGGTAGGTCATTATTTTTCTGCTGGCAAAACGACTTCTTCAAACCTTGTTAATCAATCTGCCTGGTTTAAGTTACTGTACAACGTACACAGTCAGCTGTGCAAATAGCGGGAGCTGGAAAGCAGCTTCCAGAGTGACTTGGTTGGTATCGCCACTTAGGACAAACTCCTCGCCAGGAGCAAATTCAGGGTAATTGCAGCAGGGTGGATTGTTAGGTGCCCTCTGCTAGCAGATGCCTCATTTCATTAGCCTGGGGGACCAAACCTCTGGTCCTTCCTGAGACTTCTCCGCTGATAACACCTCCCCATGCAGAGCAGTGGCAGTTAACTTGTTTACTCCTGCTTGAGATGGTGGAAAATTACTGATGTGCCTTCTGAGAGTCACCTCGCTTGCTAGGAAAGTTTTGATCATTAGAGACAAGACTGCTTGCCCTTCTCCATTATCCTGGCAACTGCAGATGAGTTATGTTAAAATGACTGTATCTCGTTTTCTTCAGCGAAGAAGCATCCCATCACACCAGCTCTAGATGCGGTGCACTTTCTGCTACCGCAGCAGTCAGTACCTGCGAAAGGTGGGAGACTGTCCTCGAGAAATGGAGATAACTAATGAAGGGAACGTAAAGGGGCACCTGAGTAACTTCATTAATGAGTCCTATAAACTGTGGATCTCTAAGCTCAATTGGATTCATTCTCTTCCCATTTCTGTAATGCTGATTACTGCAGCAGCTGGGCATTTAATTACGCACAAATGGGAACAAAACCAAACCAGGGGAGAACAAAACATCACTGTGCTGAAAGTTGCCCTGTCAATCACCGGGTTTGATCTGCTTTCAAGCCCAAGAAATGCCAAAGCTGGGAGTGGAAAACTGCTGCTAAACAAAAGGATGGGTGTCTCCACAGTGTAGCCTGTGGAAAGCACCTGGATGGAATGCCAAGCCTCCAGAGGACACTGTTTTGGCAGGCAGGGAGGGTAGATGTGCAGAATCATCGTGGCTGTGAGGGAAGGGAATATGATAAGAGGGGATACAGAAGGGGGAAAAGAAGCAAGATTATGGAGTGATTCACGCTGGGAACTGAGGGAAGACAAAGCCCTGTACTTCCGACACAAGCATAAATGCAAGAGATGGAAGATGCATGTTCTTAACCCATTTTGGTTTCCCTACCTGATTCGTTTTTCTAATATTCTCCACTTTTAAGAAAACACCAAAACTTTCCTCTGTGGGTGCACATGGTAAAAAGGGTAGAAATAACACTACCCTTGGATGAAAACCACTATTAAAACAGTAACTGCAGAGTACCTGTTCCTAAGCAAACTTAGGAAAGGGATGGTTCTGCAAGGAGCAGAGACTGGCAGACAGCATGTCCTGCAACACTCCTGCTCCCATAGAGAGAATTAATGAGGACAAGTTTCTGAAGGATATTTACTCCAGTTCCACTCTAGGTTACTGCTGGGGGTTGGAGAAGATGGAGGTATTGGTAGTATAACCCCATGAGGTGACTTTCCCTAGGAAACCCAGTGTGACAGCAGATGCTTGGAGTACTCAAAGCAGGCTACAGAGGTTCTCACATTAGATAGAGGGGTTTAAACCTGGTTTCTCCCTTAGGCAGATTCACTTTCCTTGTGCTTGAACTTCTCAGGGCAGAACAAATCGATAAAAATTATGTTCTTTTCCTTCTGATCTGCAGTCGCTATTTCAGGTGCCACAGCTGCCACTATAAATGTCTTTGCAACTACATCTGGGAGAGACTTTCTTCCACAAGTGAATTTTTAGTATACGACATCTCGTAATTACTCAGTTCACTATTCTGTTAAATAATCTGTCAGAGCATGAAAAAATTGTTCAGTGTGCTTTATGACTAGAGGAAGCAGTTTATCTTGCTTTAAGTTAAATTTACACATTCTGCCAGTCCCTGTAGTACACAATGAACATAGCTCTGAGTCACTGGATTGCCTGTCAGCAGCCATGGCAGAATCAAAGGCACTTTTGGTAATTAAAGCTAATTCATTTTAACTAGGTGTGGTTAAAAGTCTCTCCAGCTAAATGAGGAATAACATAGATACTAGATTTACCATATCTACCAGGCAGAAACAAAAATTTCTTACTGGCATTCCAAACATACAATATTAATTAGTAAATGCGATGAAGTTTTGCATATAATCCATTTATTGATGGCTTCTAGTTCAGTAAATTACACACTTTTTTTTTTTTTTCATTGTAATACACAGAAAACCCCTTATTTGTTTAAATGCTGCTACTTGCTCTTAAAGATTTTCTTTTTTTTTAAATAGCTGTAAGCAAAACCAAGATATCCTTTCATCACTGAGATTAAGAATAACAATGAAATTCCCCAGTGACCTGAAGTACAAGGAATATTTTTCTATGGAAATTGCAGATTTACGAGCTTTTGCCATAAAGGCTTCATAGCTGAATGTGGATACAGATTCATTCTTAAATTAAATCTCTCTTTTTAAAAATCTCGGTATATACTAGAATACAAAAAGCTGCAGCAGGTATTCTCAAAGAGCATGGATGTGCCTTTTCCAAGTTCATACTCTCCAGCTGCCTGCATTTCTCCCCTCCTCCGCTTGCTGCCAGCTGGGAGAAGCTGAAGCCTTGATTCACAACCAGCACTGAGTTCCCATGCCTGCCCTCTTCCCACATGCCAGTGCAAATCCCAAGTAATTACGGCCCTCATCTTCCAGCAATCATCCCCATGAGATACAGGAAGGACCCATGGAATCCTCTGGAGCCACTCTTACAGGGAAGAAGCAGCATAGAGGTCCAGCAGGGCTTAAGAGGTCCCCAAGGACAAGGCTACTCACTGGATTTGCCCTCAGGGAACCACAGCTTCAGTTTAAGAGAAGGCAAATAGCTAATATTCAACAGGAGAAGAGTTCTACAATAAATGCACTTTAAACAGGCAAGACAGACTCTGGGTGGTTTTCATGCGGAGCCACCAGTTCTTCCTCTACATGGTTCTGCCTCTGAGGATGATTCCTGTCTCAACCCTAGTGCTGACCCCTCAGTTCCACCCTCTGCTACAATCCCATACAAGCTAGTGAGGAGTCTGCATTAGGCTATTTCCCACCCACTGCTGGCAAATCAGACACCACAGCAGGGTGACGAGGTGATTAACCTGGAGCTTCCTCATTACTCAGACGTCTCATGACTGTGGCTGCTAGATAGATAGTGCATCCCTATCTCTTTGCATAGTCATATCAGATTGATTATTTTCTATAAAGCCAGTTCACTACAAGCAACAATTCTGCTTTCTTGAAGAGACTGTTTGCAAGTGTTCTTCTGGGCTAGAATACAGACAAATGAAAACCCCAGTGTGAAGGTTAATATGAAAATCCTCTTGAGAGACTCATATAAAACAATGTGTATTTCCTCTACCAGACTATTTAAAAGATGTCAAGCACACAGATGCTACTCTCTTCTGCTCAGAGACACTGTAACTGTGACCAGTGAGCCATACTGGGCAGAAAGAGCATTCCCAATGCCATAAAAGATGAAAGGTTTTCTTCTCAAGTACCATCTCTGGAGACATGACATCTCCATTTTTTGACAACCACTAGCCTGCTGTAGTCCCAGCTGATGTTAGGCAAGACTATTTAATATTCTAAGCTAAGCAGAAGGGAAATACAACCAAACCACCACCATTTCAACAGAGATCACAGTACCTAAAATAGCTACCACCTCGTCGTCCTGGATGACTTCTAGGGATCCTGAGACCACAAAGCAAAGAGCATCAACGCTTTCCCCAGCATGATAGATGAGGTCCCCCGGGGCACAATGGATCGTCTGGAACTCCACAGCCAGGGCTCGCAGGCAGCCGTCACTAGCCAGCCGGAAGGCAGGGTGCTCATTAAAAACTTTCCGGTTTAGGTGCACGCAAATATCTGCTCTCATGTCCTTTGGGCAAATTGAGAGAACCTGAATAAAAAAAAAAGTGAAAAATAATCAGCTAGGAACATGACAGCAGGCCAGCATGGGCTTTATGACATAACTGAATGTATGGATCTTAAGATGTGCCTGGGTGGACCTTGAGATCCATTTATTCAGTTATTTCATAAAGCTTCTGGTGGGAGTTTTATCTTGAATTGGGGTAGATTTTTTCTACCCATCTACTGTTTTCACTGCAGGTGAAAGGGTGACATGGAAGAAGGGACTATTCTGTTACATTGTTCTCATTCCTAACAGTTTTCACACTTGTATTGCAGAATTGCAGGTGGCACTATTATATCCTGTTTGTGGATATCCCTCCAGACTTGGTGCCCAGACTATCCACCCGCTGCTACACTCAATACCTGCCGGAGCACAGAACGGACGCTCAGAGCTGAAGAAGCTTGAAGACATGCAAAGACAGACCATTCACAATAGAAAACAACCACATGTTGCTCACATCCAGAAAACCTAGTCTTCAAAAGTCTTGATGTAGCACTTACCGATGCGTATCCAAACACAGCTAGGGTTTAGTTTCCGTGTCGCAGAGACATATAGTAAGTAACCTGCCCTGGAGGGCTTACAGACTAAAAAATCCAAAAAGTTTGAGATTAGAGCAAAAGGAAAGTATTATGAAACCTTATGAAACGTAAAGGTGAGTGAAAAACTGTCCTGTGAACATGAAGATGTCTTCATAGTGGATCAATTAATTAAGACCTTCAATTAATTTCTTACCTTAAATAGCTTTCCCTATTGAAATAGTAACATAAATTCACCAGAAGAAAGTGAAAACCTGTGGGTCTTGTTAAGTTTGTAAACTGTGTGTTTACTATTTGCACATCCTCCTAAATACTCTAACGTTCTTATAACCCTAAAATGCATGGTAGCTAATTGCACTGAGAAATATATAAAACCTTTTAAAGTTTTCCTAGGATAAATAATAGAAAAGAGTATGAAATTAAGAGCACTCGAAGTCTTAAATAGAGAAGATTGTAGATCAATAGCACTGATTAATTTCTCATTGAATGGAATTAATCTGGCAGCTTGTTCTGCAGACAGTGTGAGGGACAGAGACATTGAGTCAATGTGTTGACTACCATTGAATATTCGCAGAGTGAGACACTGGTAACCCTCACTAAGCTTTGAGGCAAATGGTCATGTTAATATTGATGTAAAGCCACGTTTTTCATTTCTGTTTAATGCAGAAGAGGTATAAAACATATTCTTGTAAAGTACTGCTAAAGGTCCTAAAGCATAGAATAGGACAGTAGTAAACAATTCCTAGTTTAATAATAATATTTAGTGCCCTTCTTATTTCAATAGATCAAAGTTCCTTTGTGGTCAAAGATATGAATGCAAAAAGGTGAAGTTATTCTCCCATCCTCTGTACTATGACAGTCTGAAGCTAGAAAGGGCTCCTGCAATCATCTGCACTAACCTCTTGCACTCATAATTTTCATATCAATCCCAGAATACTTGGCAAAATTATAGCCTGGAAGGTCTTGATTTAATGTTTTCAAATTATATAGGGTGTTTGCTCCAATGGACAGCTACTCTCTCTCTTAAAATGTGCTGTTTCTGAATGGATTTTGTCTTCATTTTCAGTCAACAGCCAGCAGATCTTATCATGTTGCTCAGATAAAAGACCTGCAATCATTGGAAATCTCTTCCACATGCAAGTGTTTGTAGAATATGACCAGGTCATCTCTCCATCTTATCTTGAATAAAAAAGAGAGATGATGCTACTTCTGCCTAACACTATGAAGCACAATATCTCTTTGGAAACTTCCCCATTAACATGAGGTTTTCTCACTTATAACCACCTTCTCAGATCTACCAGATACGTGGTTTTCATAGAATCGTAAAATGGCTTGGGTTGGAAGGGACTTTTAAAGGTCTCTAGTCCAACCCCCCTGCAGTGTGCAGGGACACCTTCAACTAGATCAGGGTGCTCAGAGCCCTGTCCGACCTGGCCTTGAATGTTTCCAAGGATGGGGCTTCTACCACCTCTCTGGGAGACCTGTGCCAGGGTTTCACCACCCTCATTGTAAAAAACTTCTTCTTAATATTTAATCTGAGTCTCCACTCTTTTAGCTTAAAACCAGTACCCCTTGTCCTGTTGCTACAGGCCCTATTAAAAAGTTTGCCTCCATCGTTCTTATAGGCCCCCTTTAAGTACTGAAAGGCCGCAATAAGGTCTTCCCGGAGCCTTCTCTTCTCCAAGGTGAACAACCCAAACTCTCTCAGCCTCTCTTCACAGGAGAGGTGTTCCAGCCCTCTGATTATTTTTGGGGACCCGCTCCAGCAGGTCCATGTCTTTCTTGTACTAAGGATTCCACAGCTGGACGTAGCACTCCAGGTGGGGTCTCACCAGAGCAGAGTAGAGGGGGAGAATCCCCTCCCTCGACCTGCTGGCCACACTTCTCTGGATACAGCCCAGGATACGGTTGGCTTTCTGGGCTGCCAGCGCACACGGCCGGCTCATGTCCAGCTTTTCATCCACCAGTACCCCCAAGTCCTTCTCCTCAAAGCTGCTCCCAATGCCTTCATCACCCAGCTTATATTGATACTGGGGGTTGCCCTGACCCAAGTGCAGGACTTTGCACTTGGTCTTGTTAATTTGGTTTAATGATATTTTTCTGTAACAAAATATATATTAAAATACCCTGCATAAGTCTATCATAAAAATTAATAATAAATACATTTGACAAGACATATTCTCCATAAACCATCATTTGCATTAGTAATAATGTCTTGTCTGAGTCACTGTTGACCATATCCTGCAACAATTTTCCATAATATTATTAGGGGCCAATGTCAATTTTACAAACTTATACTTACCTGAGTAATTTCATTTACCAACAGAAATGGGGGCACACCTTTTTTTTTTTTTTTCCCTGTAAAAAGCCCCAAAATTACTTTTCAGAGTGATTGTTTCACCTTTGTCCTACTTCTGGATCAAACAGAAAGCTCATCTTTATTATAATAAAATAAAAACATGCCATGTTTCTTTTTCTCAATATTAATTTAATGAAAAATTCTCTTTCTTATGTATCGTGATTGCTATTTTTTAACATTTTTATCTACTCTTGGGCCTAAACGAAGATTAGAATTTTTTTACTTCCCTTTAATACTTTCAATAATATAAGTGCTTTTGACTTAACAAGGCCATGAACTATGAATTCTCAAACACTGTTCTTGAGAAAAATGTGTGTGTTCATACATGACTTATTTCCTACTTTTATCTTTTAAGCATTCCAACTGCAGGAAAAATTGGTTAAACTATTGCAGAGGTTGTTACTTTAAGATCTGGAGATTTTCCAGGACCCTTTGTTTTTTGGAGTGTAAATTAATTGTGTCCCTCAAGAATAAAAACCACTTGGATGCAAAGCAGCATAATGTCTCCTCAGAAATACAGAGTTAAATACAGAGAATTAAAAGTGAGCACTCAAAGCATTACTCATGTTACAGACACAACTTATCTATCATCACGCACTGTAATATGAAGAGACAGAAAAAAATCCATTGCAGAGTAAAAGCTAGTCTTAGAAAGCATAATTCCAGAATTTTCTGATGTCATGATAAAGTGATTCTCCTAATGACACATTACTCTGTGGAAGTATGTGAAAATATCAGTAACAACTAGTACAGCAGTAAATGAGTAATGATCCAGGAGTTAGCCAGCAATGAATATTCTGTATTTCAGTTTTCTTGTCTGATATGCTGCAAGTACTGAGAACAGTGAATGAAATGGATGAAAATGAAAAGATATACTTAATATTAAAAGATTGGGCAAAGGAGCTTTGGCTGATAATGATAAATGTAGATATACATAGGGGAAAAAAAAGAGCAGAGAGAGAAAATCTCAATGTTTATCTATGTGTTTATTCTATGCTCCAAGCACAGGACTTCATGAGCTCCAACCTGACTTTGCGGCACTTCTTTTCATGTTTACGAATACAAACGGCATGAATTCCGCAGGAGTCTCACAGATGCCACCAGCTTCTATATTAGTTGTACTTAGAAACGGTTGTTGGTGACACAGATTACAGTACATAGTAATTTTCCTACTTCCAAAGAAGACACATAATGTGATACAAGACCATACAGAAGCATTTGGAAGCTAATGATAAATAGCTCAAATATCCTAAGAGCAGAAAATGAGCACTTCAAATTCAGATAAATATTTTTCTGAAAATGATGCCTTATTGAAAATAAAAGACTTGGGTATTCTTATTGTGAAATGCTGTTACTGAGATCTCAGCATTTTTAAGGCAAAATGCAACTAAAAAGATATAAACTAGTAGCAACATGGTTGTACAAGAGTCCATACGGTGTACAAATGCGTGCACATGGGTGTGTAAGAGAAATTCACTTTAAGGGAAAGGATATCCTGTAACGCTTAATCTACTGTTTCAGTGTTAGGGAAATGTGTCCAACACTTCATGTTAGCAGAACCAAAGTCCAGCTGGGAAGTTTCATCTAGCCTGTGTATCCTTTCAGCAAAAACCACCAAGACAAATTCCTGAAGAGGAAATTTCCTTCGAGATTTCAAGACCTTTCTCAGTGAAACCTGCAGTTTGTACACAAGGCAGGATATTAAGGTTGCTGACTGCAATGCTTTACTGACTGATGGCTTTGGAGCACACAACTTGGAGCAGGCAGTCTGCAGGGACCAGGCGCTTGTGCTGCTATAGAAGTTGCTCTGTAATAAATCTGTAGCCACAGACTTCACAGACATCTTTCCCACATGCACCCAAGCAGCACAAAAGAACAGAAGCTGCTACGTTCAGTACACAATTAGAGGGGAAAACTGAATTCGACCCGGAGGAAAATCTTTACTGTCTGTATAAGCTGAGTTTCTACCAGAAAAGGAGCAAGGCTCCACGCCACACATTAATAGACACATGTATCCACAAAGACCTGAACCACTACAAAGCTGAGAGAGGAGAAAGTAAACCACAGAATGACATTCACCACTTCCCGGCACA